TGCGCTCCCGCTCGGCCCCCTCCCCCTCCCTCCTCCCCGACTCTCCCTCCTTCCCTCCCTCCCCTCTCCCCACTCCCGGCTTCGCTCTCGCCCACACTTTCTTTCTCACACACGCACGCAGACACATTCTCCCTCTCTCCGCGCTCGCCCTCGCTCTCCCTCGCTCCCTCTTTCTCTTTCACTTTTGCATGCCCTGCAACCTTTTAAAATGTTGCCCCTTCCCTGTGATTCGCCAGACGCCGCGCCGCGGCCCCCCGCGCGCTCGCCCGCTCCCTCTGTCGCCCGCTTTTTGTCTCTCGCGCTCCCTCTCCCCACCTCCGATTTGCTACACTGAGACTCCCGTCAATGGACTGCATTGAGAGCCGGCTCCGGAGCGAGTTGCCTCTCCGCTTCACGCTCGATTTCCAGGCATTCTTCCCTTATTAAGTATTCGTGTAATATTAATAGTCATGAATATCTGCTATTAGGAGGCTCCAGGAACGCTGGCCAGCGCGGTTATTAGAAGCTCAAGCGAAGCCGCCGCTAAGAAAAGAGGGACAGACACGGATTAAGGAACACTCACGCGCGCACACACGCACACTCACATACACGGTGGTTTTTTTTTTTTTTCCTTTTTCCTTTTTTTTGTTTTTTTTTCTTTTTTCATTTTTAAAGAACTTTGAATCATAACCGATCACGGCAGGATAGAGACCGGGGGCTCCACCAGCTGAAGGCGCCGCGCGAATCGGTGGTTCAAGTTCGGATGGATCCGAGCGAGGTTCCCGCGCTCCAGGGAGCGTCGGCGTGGTGACCGGAGTCCCGGGTGGCGCAGGGTTCTCGGCGCCTTTTGTGTGGGGCGCGCTCGGGCGGCGGGGCAGCCGGGCGCTCCAGGCTTGCTTGTTTTTGTTTTTGTTTTTCCACCCTGACTCGTTACCCCAGACTCTTCGCAGATGTTAGTTCACAGTTTTTCAGCTATGGTGAGTCCCTCCCTCCCCCCATCCCTCTTTCCTTAGGAATTCTATAGTCTGGAAATCGGGTGCCGCGAACCTGGCGGAGACTTGGGGTTTCACGCCCAGGTTTCCTTCTGGACACCCGCTCCATTTGCATCCCCCTCCTTTCCTCCTCTTCGTCGTTCTTTTCCATCCCTCAATCCAATGCATTGCCACCTATCCCCGCCCCCGCTCGACCTCTCCACGCACGCCGACCTACCTCGCCGCTGCTTCCCGAGGCGTGCGGCTCGCCACGGTCCATCTGTATTTCCTTGCGTCTTCACTGGTTGTTGAGATGTTCTCCACATTTGATGCTTAATCTGTTGGCAGGGAAAAACGCAGCCCTGTGTGCCCCCTACCCTCGGGGCCTGCAGCTGAACCTTCACGGGTTCACAGTCCCTGGAATCAACTCCGTTCGCGTGTTTTGCAAGCGAATTGCAAAAGAGGAACATAAAGTCAGGCGTTTCTTTTGCCCTTTGGGCTGGGGTGAAAGGGGCGGGGGGCCTCCGCCCCGGGGTGCACCTCTCTCTTTTAAATCCTGTAAGGCTGAATCTATTTTAAACCGTGACTTGAAGTCCCCATTTCCCCCATCCATATCATAAATCGACCCTGTCCGGGGGGCAAAAAAGCGTCTGAGGAAGCAGAAAAGACAGACCCCTGGTCCTTGTTTAGGCTGGTCATTTAAACGTGTGCTTCCGTTACTGCCCCTCTGCCAAATTGGTTTCTATTTAAATTATCCTGGAATGGCCAGAGTCTTTGAGTATTTATGATGGGTTTTTTTTCTTCCAAATAAATGGAAGGGAGTCAACAATAACGCGGGGGCAGACAGGTTCAAGTCTCGGAAAAAGAAAAGGCCGCTTACGCTGTTTAATATTGAGTAGGGTTTTAAATGTTGCTGCAGGGACGTTTCACGCTGCAGTTTAACGGGCTGTATTCCAAGAGACCCTTTTCCACCACCCACTACCCTTTGAAAGAAACGCTTAAGGAGAGTGCCTTGTGCTCCCACGTTCACATGATCTAATTCCTCTGCGTTTTTTGGGAAGGGCCTGTTTAACTTCTCGGGTATTGTCCATAGTGAACAACTTGGGGCTGGTATTTTTCCGGATGGGGAAAAGCGATTTCCCACGCAGGTTTGACAGTGCTTTTGGGGTGAATGGCTGCCACGCCACGCCTGATTTTCTTTTCTCCTTCCTCTCGCTTTCTAGGACCGTCATGACGGCGCCAGCAACGGGACGGCGCGCTTGCCCCAGCTGGGCACTGTAGGCCAATCTACATACC